CCATCGATAGGGGTTAAGGATGGTCCGGTGAGGCCAGGATGCAAGGATACCCTTGGGAAGGTTATCCGTCATTACCATCGGTTTCGACTGTACTGGGGTCGCCTCGGACCCATCTCCGGCCGTCTTGGGGCTCTCTTAGATCTCTAGGGCCGTCTTGCGTCCCTGTGGGGACCCTCTTGGGCCGTCCTGAGCCCCACTAGCGGCCATCTTGAGCTGTCGCCCCCGAGGTGGGAGGGCGCAGCGGGAGGCGACGACGAGAACGACCCCAACGACGACGAAAACGACCCCGACGACGACGACGACGACGACGACGACGACGACGACGACGACGAGAGCATGGCGGCCCGCCGCGCAGCAGCTCGGCGGCGCGCACAGGGAGGTTTGGGGGAGGAGGAGGAGGAGGAAGAGGAGGAGGAGGAGGAGGAGGAGGAGCAGGAGGAGGAGGAGGAGGAGGAGGAGGAGGAGGAGCAGAGGAGGAGGAGGAGGAGGAGGAGGAGGAGAGGGAGGAGGAGGAGCAGGAGGAGCAGGAGGAGGAGGAAGAGGAGAGGAGGAGGAGCAGGAGGAGGAGGGAAGAAGAGGAGGAGGACAGGAGTAGGAGGAGGAGGAGGAGGAGGAGAGGAGGAGGAGAAGGAGGAGAGGAGGAAGAGGAGGAGCAGGAAGGGGGAGGAGCAGGAGGAGGAGGAGAGGGGGAAGAGGGGGCCGTTTCTTAGAAGGAGGCTGCTTTGAAGAGGGCGCGGACCCCACATCTGCAGACGAGGCCCGTGCCTTCTAAGAAGCAGCCTCCTTCTAAGAAGCCTCCCACCCTCCCCCCTGCCTTGCGGCCTCCAAGATGGGGTCCGAGGAGATGGGGTCTAAAGATCGCCCCGCATCGCCGATGCATCGCCGATGCATCGGCGATGCATCAGCGACGTCGGCGACGCATCGGCGCCGTCGGCGTGTGTTTGCATCGGCGATGCGGTGGGATCCTCCGACCCCGTCTCCTCCGACCCCGTTTAGGAGGCCTAGACTGCCCTTAGGTCGGGCGTGTCCTCCCACAGGGGGGTTTTGGAAGACGCGTGAAGCACAGTTTAAGCATTGTCAGAAAGAGTTCCAAAAATAGGAACATCGCCCCCAGACTATTTTTGTTACTGTTCTTGACCATTCCGCCTGGAGAGGGACGTGCCCGACTTAAGCCTACACCCCGCGAAATGCTTAAGAATTCATGGGTTAAGAAATTCATAGTCTCAGAACTTGAATAAAAAAACCCAACATTTCTATTAAATCTTAAGATTTACATTGAAACGTTAAGAATAGTCGAGACTCTGGCCGAAAACTAAGTTTTCTTAAGCATCGCCTAAGGTGTAGACGTGCCCCCCTCTGCGCGTGGCCGCACAGCTCTCTTTCTGCCTGCGCCTCTTGGCGGCCGCCCCCTCCTCCGCGGGGGCGGCCTCGGCGGGCGCCCCCGCCGGGCGCTCCTCCGGCACGAAGAGCACCGGCAGCGTGCCCCCGCAGGCCCGGGCCAACGAGCCCGCGATGCCCCCGCCGTGCGGAGAGCCGGGCCTAAACCCAGACCCCCTCGAGTTATGAAAAAATCACGACGGGCGGTTTTCCTCAGTTTTCGGCCTCTGGGGGCCCTCACCGGGCCTCGGGAGCGTCAAAAAACGACTCAGGACGAAAAAACGGTCCCGGGGAATGGGTCGAGACCTCGGGGGGTCGACGTCATGAAAAAATCATGACGTCGGGGGTCTGGGAATCTCCGACGATCTGATTTTTCAGTCTGGGCTAGGGGAACAAGCACCAGCCTGGCGAAGGAGCCAACCAAGATGCACTTGTGGGTGCCGCAGTTGCGAGGATCGTCGTGGGCGGAACTCCCCATGGCGCCACAAAGCGTGTGAGGGGCGTGCCGATTTGGGGAGGCGGGTGGGTGCACGTGAACCCTCCCACTGGGACCTTCGGTGGAGCTCCCTATAGGGCCTCGAAACGTGTGAGGGGTGTGCCGAAACGGGCGTGACGCCCATATGGAACTGCGCCACTGAGACCTTCGGTGGATCTCCCTATGGGGCCGCGAAACGCGTGACTGGTGTGCCGAAGCGGGCGTGACGCCCACGTGCGAACTGCAGCAATGGGACCTTCAGTGGAACTCCCTGGGCGACGGAACGTGTGAGGGGTGCGCCGAAACGGGCGTGACGCCCACGTGCGAACTGCGCCACTGGGACCTTCGGTGGAGCTCCCTCTGGGGGCCAAGAAACGTTTTAGCGGTGTGCCGAAACGAGCGTGACTCCCACGTGCGAACTGCAGTAATGGGGCACTGGGACCTTCGGTGGAGCCCCCCACAGGGCCACGAAACGTGTGAGAGGTGTGCCGAAACGGGCGCGTCGCCGACCTGCGAACTGCGCCGCGGAGATCATCGGCGGAGCTCCCTGTGGGGCCACGAAACGAGAGAGGGGTGTGCCGAGACGGACGTGACGCCCACATGCGAGTTGCACCACTGGGACCTTCGGTTGTTTTTTTTTTTTTTGACATCCACAGCCAAGGGCCCCAACTTAACGGGCGGCCACGACATTGTCGCACGCGGGGCCCTGGGCGGCGCATGGGCCGCCCAGGGACCAACACGGCGCCCCGCGCACACGGCCGGCGGGCCGGGCCGGCCGAGCGGAACGGGGACCGCAACGGTCGGGCAGCTAAGCGGTACGCTCAGCAGACCCGACCGCCGCGGCAACGACGACGACACGATGGAGAGGACGAGGCGCCAGGCGCGACCCCAACACGGCGAGCCCGGCGACCCCCCGGGGGGAAGGGGACCGCGCTTTGGCGGCCATCTCCACTGGGTGCGGGGGCTTTCCGCCCCTCGGGCCCAGCGTTCCCCGCCTGCGCTGGGATGACCCTGGGGTCCCGACCCCACCCCCTGCGGGTGAGGCCCCCTCGGGGCAAAAACAGGGGACCTTAGGTGGAGCTTCCTACGGGGCCACGAAACCTGTGAGGGGTTTGCCGAAACGCGCGCGACGCCCACATGCGAACTGTACCATAGTGACCTTCGGCGGAGCTTCTTATGGGGCCAGGAAACGTGTGAGGGGTGTGCGGAAACAGAGACGATCCAGCGATGGGAGGAGGGAGATGAGGAGAGGAGGAGGACGCAGGGCGCTGTCTCTTCAAAACGAAGACCCAACACCACAAGATGGTTGGGAAACGCACATGAACATAAACTTTTGGAGGTCCGCGCGGATTTCTCGGATCCGCGCTGGACCCCCCTCCCCGGCGCGCGGAACGCGCCAGGGGCGGCGCCAGAGGCACCGCCAGGGGGGACCAGCGCAGATCCAAGAGATCCGCGCGGAGCGCTCAACGTTTCTGTTTATGGCGTTTTTTCCTCTTCGATGGGCGTTTCTCCCGGGGCCCGTTCTCGGGCTGCCCTCTCTTTTTCGCCCCGGTGTCTGCGCCCAGCTGCGGGCCCTGGGAGCAGCACAGCTCGGGGCGGCTGGAACAAAAAGGCCGCAGAAGATTAGTGTCAAGTCGGGCGTGTCCCCCTGCAGGGTGATTTTCGACAACATTTTTGTTTTTTAACTCCAGAAATACTCCAACATGGCAAAACAGATGCTCAAAAAGTAGTCCCCAGACTATTTCTTGCCCACTCTTGAATATTCCCCCTGGAGAGGGACAGGCCCGACTTAAGGCTATTGGGGGGGAAGCTCCTCGTCGACACGCCGGGACCCGCCGCGCAGCACGGGCCAACATGGATCCCGGGAATGGTGCGTCGGGAGCGGCAAAGAGGGGGGGTACCAAGAGGGGGGGGTGCAAATCATGACCGGCGGCATGTGCGCGGCCCAGCGGGGGGGCCAGGGACGTAATAAAACAAGAAGAGGCGCCACGAAATCTGGGGAGATATCATGGCCCCCGCCATGATATCCACCCCCCCCTAGTCACCACCCCCCTCTTTTCCGCCCCCGAGTGCGGAGACCGACCTCGACCAGACTCGGGCCGGGCGGGAGAGCCGAGGCTGCCCCAACTGCGGGGGGGGGGGAACCATCTGGGCGACCCAGAGGGGGGTCCAGCTGGAAGGGGGTGGTGCAATAGTCGGGGATGGACAGACCCCCCTTTAGTAAAACGTGGTTTAGTGAAAACGACCTGAGGCCCAAACCTGGCGGGCGCAAGCCTGGAAAATAACGGCCACGGCGCCCTCTCGAGAACCGAAAACGGACAATTCACTAATCGACGTGTCACTGTTGGGGGTTCTGTCCACCCCCGAAATAGATCTGGGGCAATTGTCATGCAAATGTACTGCGCCAGAGAATTGTATGGCACTGTCTTGCAAATCATGTCTTGCACGCGACAATTCAGGAATGCACTTGCACCCCGGAGTGGATTGCACGCCCTCAATGTATTGCAACCCCACAAATCTATTGCACCGCCCCTTGTCGCTGGGCCCCCCTTTTGGGTCAACCCGAAACCATCGAGCGTGAATCGGCACCACATCGCCGACGGGCCCCCCGGTAGCGTATCCGGGCTACCGGGCGCCCCTCGGCGACGAGTGGGCCGTTGGGGCTCGACGCGCTCTGCTCTGGGCCCCTCCCTCCCCCAGCGCTGCCCCGGAATCGCCCCCCCCACCCAGGTCGCCCGACTTCGCGCATCGCGCCCCGCGACCATCCTCGCGCCCCCGCGCCGCCCCGTTGGAGAAGGGCGGCCGCTCTGGCTTGGACCGCGGCGCACCACGCGCGGTCCTCTCTTGAGCAGGGACGGACTGTCCCGGCAGTTCTATAGCCCTACCACGAAATGTTCGTAGAACCCAAACATGTTCTAAGAACAAAAACAATGCTCTTAGAACATAAGCCCGATGTGTTCAAACAAGACAATCTCAACCATAACTGCTCTCAGAACATTTCGTGGGAACCACAACAGGCTCTTAGAACATGTCTTGGTGGGGCAATCTATATATATATATATATATATATAGGCGAGCCAGGACGCTTCGCCACTGCTTGACTCTTCGCGCCCCCGCAGGGGGACCCGGCTCCGTCGGAGGGGGGCAGGGGGCGTCGGGAGGGAGGGTAGGGGCGTCGGGAGGGAGAGCAGTCCCCTCGGACGTGGCCCAGAGCTGGTTTCACTACCGAGCGAACAGCGGGGGGCACCTCTTGGGCCAGGGGCACCCTCGGCCACCCGCGCGAACTGGAGTGCCGGGGGGCCATCGCGGCGATAAGCGCAGGCGCTCCTCGTCGAGCGCGGGGGCCGGTATCTGCCACCTGCCGCTCCGGGGGGCCATGGCGGGCCCCGCGCTGCACTGCTCCTCGTTGCGCGCCACGTGCAGAGCCAGCCGCTCGGGGTCGAGCGCGGCGCCCCGCAGCCGGAGGTACCTCTCCTCCACGCCGGCGATGAACGCGGCCATCTCGCGCGGGGCATGCTCGATGATCCTCAGAGCGCGTGCTGGCGCCGGCCTGTGCTGGTCCGCTGGAGCCCCTCAGCACGGGGCAGGCGCTGTCATGGGGGCCGGCACGGGCTGCGTGCTGTCGGCGGAGCTGAGCGGGGTACAGTAGGGGCCCGACCACAAGAAACCTTCCACAAGAAACCCATCCCAGAGACCTCAGGACGTCCAATGTCTTTTGGTGTGGGAACGTCACTCTCCTCACAGCAAAACCAGCGAAACCCAGGGCACCCTGGAGGCAAGCAGGGTGTTTCTTGGCATGGGTCTCCACTGGAAACACACATTGTCGAGGGCGTCGGCCGGCCCCGGCACTGGGCCAACACACGTCTTGAGAACCATCTCGTCATTCTCACGGTGCACGCGCACGTATGTCCGGTAGATGTTCCGGGGATGGACAGAACCCCCTTTAGTAAAACGTGGTTTAGTGAAAACGACCTCGGGCCCAAACCTGGCGGGCGCAAGCCTGGAAAATGACGGTCGCGGCGCCCTCTCGAGAACCGAAAACGGACGTTTCACTAATCGACGTGTCAGGGTAGGAGGTCTGTCCACCCCCGAATGTTGAAGGAATTCCGGACCACGTCCTTGCTGTAGTCCTTCAGGTCGTCCTCGACCTCCACGAGCAGCTCCGCCTCCCGCAGGAAGGCCAGCGCCTTCTCGTCGTAGGGGGCCCCGCGCAGCTGGTACAGCAGCAAGTTCAGCTTGGAGGCAGCCAGGGGGTCTGAGCTGGAGAAGCCCAGAGAACGTCTGCAAGACTAGAGGCCTCCTAGATGGGGTCGGAGTACATGTGGTCGGTGGATCGCTCCGCATCGCCGATACATCGGCAATACATCGCCGATGCATCGGCGATGCTCCGGCGATGCATCGTCGACGTCGGCGGTGCATCGGCGACGTCGGCGTGGAGAAAATCGGGCTCCACATCGAGCCGCATCGCCGATGCATCGCCGATGCATGGGCGATGCGGCGCGATCCTCCGACCCCATCTACACCGACCTCATCTAGGAGGCCTAGACAGACGTGAGCAGGGACCGACCGTCCTTGCACTCCTCTGGGCCTACCACGACATTCTTTGGTAGGTCTACAGGCAATCCAGCACGCCTCGCCACTGCTTGAGGAGAAGCCCAAAGAAAATCGGCCAACAAGGGGGGGATGCCGCAAACTCCGTTCGGAATTGGCCCCCAGACCCCTCCCGGACCGACACGGCACAGCTCTCCGAGACGTGCCCAGCTGGGGCGACGCGGGGGTCCCTGTCTTCCCCGTCTCTGCTGGCCAGAGCTGGTGCTGGGCGCCAGCTGCCCTGAGATCCTCGGGTCGGGCGAAAGGGGGGGATAGCAAAGGGGGGGTTTGAGAATCAGCTCACGTAGCTGACTTTCCCGGCGCCTCCCGGCGCCGGGAGGCGCCCATGTATCGAGGAATGGGCCCATCGGTGAGGCCGAAACCAGCTGCGTGCAGCAGATTTCGTAACCCCCCCTTTCCCAATCCCCCCCTTTCGCCAGCTGCCCTGAGATCCGACACGGAGAGCACATTGCAACATCGCGAGACAGCA